ATGAGTCTCCTTTACCTTTTGAACACCACGCGTCTTTGAATGCACGTTGAACGACGGCCGCGGTATGCGTAAGACCCCGACATCGCCTCAGCCTCCCGATCGATCGTTCTGTTTCATAGAAACCCGCGCCCACGATAAGCTGCCTGAGATGCAGGACGATGAGACCAGCCGGTGTTGGGGATGTCCTTCCTCCGAGCGATGATTGATAACGTCTGGCATCGAAACACTGTTGGCGATGGCGGTCGAGACCGAGCCCGGTACTCCTGACATATCCAATGCTCGACGGCCGAGGAACCCCGCGCGCAAGACTTGCCGGGCGGGCGAGATGCAATCCAGCAGGAGGACGTCGCGGTCCGAGCCACCTTGTATCTTTCGCATTACTCTGCGCTCGTGGAAGAAGCAGCAGAGGACTGAAATACGTGTCCAGCAAGACGAAGATCGTGCCGGTATCGCGCCGGTGCCGACGTCGTCAGCGCGCGAGGCTGCCTGGTCCAAGAGAACCTGTCGGCCCTATCTGCGTGATCCGTAAGTTGTAGACGGGTAGAGCGCTTTAGTCAGTCTTCTCATGCTTGGAGGAAAAATGATTGAGCCTACTCTGATGGCTCTGGTAACGCTGCTGTGGCCTCGACAGTTCTTCTTGACGTCTGTGCTGCTGGGTCTCGATTGCCGCATCAGCAGAAGATCGCCTCAGCCGTGGACTTGACTATGCCTCGTCGACTCGCTCCTTGCAAAACACCCGCGAAGATGGGTAGGAATCTTTCCAAACCTTCGTACACCGTTCCACAGTCTCGACTTCTTGTTATCGCCTTGATAATTGCCCGCCTGCCTATCTACTTTTCTCGCAATCAGCGTTGGAAACCCGACGCTCACAGCGCAGGCCTGACCAAGTAATGCGCCTGTAAACAAGACCTCCACGAATGGCCACTTTGTCAAGCAAGCCATACCAGAGTCGAAATCATATGACAGCCTACACACCCACACAATTTTCCTTTGCAACAATCACGCGAGTACATCATGATGTGCAGCCGGTATGGTCTAGAGCAGGCAATTACTTTCTTATACCAAATATCGTATCAAATCTGATCCTCCTCTATTATCTACATGGAACCCAAGGACACAACCCTCTCTCTAAAGCACATACCGGAAGCTAGGTTGCTCAAAGTCCGTCAAATCCAAGAACTCGGTCCCCGTCGCGACGGTCTCGGGCTGCTCGGCCGCCTTCTTGTCGCGCCGCTTGTTCTCCCAGATGTTGACGAGCCGGATCGCGACGATGGTGCACGCCGCGAGACCGTACATGATGGCCACCATCAGCTTGCCGTTCTTGTAGTTGGGCGCCTCGTTGGAGCGGAAGGTCTGCGGGCCGATCCAGTTGCCGGCGCCGTAAGCCAGGATCTGCAGGCCGTTGACGGTGGCCTTCTTGGTGTAGCCCAGCGTGTTGTTGGAGATCATGACCATGATCAGGCACCAACTCGCGCCAGCCGCGCCGATGGAGTAGTACCCCACGAGCAGACCGGCTTGGTTCGTGAGCGGGAGGGCGATCATGAGGATGCCGCCGACCATGGGGATCAGGATCGCGATGAAGGCGAAGAGGGTGCGGTCGAGGAGACGGTCGGAGAGGTAGGTGAAGAGGAGCTTGCAGGTGATGTCAACGATGCCGGTGGGCATGTTGAGCAGCAGGGACAGGCGCGAGTTGAAGCCGAAGGAATTGATGATGATGGAGCCGAAGGCGGTGATGCCGCCGTTGGGGATGTTCATGAGCAGCGAGAAGAGGACGTAGAGGTACGTGCGGGGGTCGCGGAAGGCCTCGAAGAACTGGTCCCACTTCCACTTGCGGCTGCCGATGCCCTGGAAGTTGCCGCGGATGCGCTCGATGGAGATTGCCTTCTCGCGGTGGGTGAGGAAGCGGGCGTTGGTCTGGTTGTCGGGCATGAACCACCAGCAGTAGGCGCCGGTGATGACGGTGGGGAGGCCGAGGACGAGGTAGAGGACCTTCCAGGTCGCGAGGACGGTGTTGTGGGCCCCTGAGAGGCCGTAGGCGACGGGGCCGAGGGTCAGGAGGGCGATGCCGTTGCAGGAGAGCCAGTAGCCCATGCGCTTGGCCTGTTCGTTCTGCTTGTACCAGGCCGAGGTGAGGATGACGAAGGCCGGGGTGACGGTTGCTTCGAGGGCGCCGAGGAAGAAGCGCACGGAGAGGAGGCCGGCGTAGTTGAAGGCGAAGATGTGACAGACGAGGACGAGGCCCCAGAGGGTGATGTTGGCAGAGGTGTACTTGCCGAGGGGCAGAGCTCGGAGGAGGTAAGTTGTTGGGAATCTTGAGTGAGTCAGCGACTTGCACGATGTGATGACATGATTATTGTTTACTTACTCCCAGAGAATGTAACCGGCGTAGAAGATGCTCGATGCCCAGCTGTACTGCTGGCTGTGGGGGTCCAGGCCGGTGTCCTCGCGGATGCCCATCAGCGAGGCATAGTTGAGGGACGTCTTGTCGGCGAACTGCAGCGCGTAGATCCAGCAGAGTAGAGGCATCAAGGCCCAGTCGATCTTTCTGAGGACAGCAGCCTCCTCTTCAGGGGTAAACTGGACCTGTTCGCCGTTGACAAAGGCGAGGGCAGGGTCGACTTCGCCGTGCTTGAGCTTCTCGATGCTGCCATCTTCCAAGTCGGTCTGAGTTCGGATGACGTCGCCTCCGTCTGGGCTGGTTGTCTTGTCCTTGTTGTTGGACGACATTGTGAAGGGTGTTGTGTGAAGGCTGAATGAGGATGCGGGATATTCCACCTTTCGTGAAAGTTTGACTCGATGTTTGATGCTTCCTAGACCCTGAAGAATGAAGACCCAAAAGATGGAAACAAATTCCTGAGAGAAACAGTCGGAAGACCAACGTTGTAAAAGCCCAGCTCAACTCCTTGAGACGGGACGTGGCAGCTCAAGTCCAGGTTGCAATTCGTCAGGGAGGCTCGGAGTTTATACGTGTCCCGTCACTCGGGAAACAGTCACGGTCAAGGCATACCTTTCATCTTGACGTGGACGGGCTGATCACAGTGCATCCGGCAAGGGCTCTCTCTCTCTCTACCTACCCAGGAAGTTGGAATCCATGACTAGATGTCAATGGTTGGCTATCGCGTTAGTCTGGGGCAATGATAGGAGATTTCTGTTTTAGTCTTGGTGCTATCTCCGGGTCCATAGTGTCAAATGCGCGTCGACGGAGCTCCGCCCCCGCATTCTGGGACGTCGCCTCGGCCAACTCTCCGCATTCTTGGGGAGGTGACTGGGATCCCCTATCCTTGTAGATTGCAGCAGAAGGGGAGCTGTGCATGTGTACATGACTAAAGATATCTTGTCGGTTGAATGGGGTGAAGAAGCTACCCGAATGCCGGATGCAATCATTGATAAGTCTCCGATAGACAGGCACCGAAGAAGACAGACAGAGTTGACATTGACTCTCGGACAAGGCATCCGAAGACAATGATGCCAAATTCTTTGAGATAACTTTAGCTTGTTTAGTTATCATGGTGGTCTCTCACTGTCTCACAATTGAGTCGATACTCCAATATCAAGAGAACCGATTGCTCGTGAAAAGACTCAGACAGCAATCTTCAAAAATACAAGATGACTCTTCGCTTTCTTAATTTGACTGTCTGCTATTCTCATTCCAGAAAGGCAAGCCAGCCTCAAGCCGAGCTGCACCGTATACAGAAGAGCTATCCAAAGAGTCCCCAGCAAACTCTCGCGCAGCCTCCATGCGGGTTAACGCCGTTTCAATCGTCGGGATCCGAGTTCCATTCTCCTTGGCAATCCTGATCGCGTGGCCTGCGTCTTTAGTTGCAAGGGTCACGGCAAACCCCGGGGGAGTACCCAATGGCGGCGCGTACGCCCCTGTAGTCATGCGCTTGGAGTAGCTCTCGATGACAGGGCCGTACATGTCGCTGATAAACTGCTCCATCTGGCGGGTTCCCAGTCCCGTCTTCTCCGCAAAGACTTGAGCTTCTGCAGTCAGCTCCTGAAAGCCAATGACAAAGATGTTGCTGTTGTTGGATTTGGGCGTTAGCGGCAATCTTTGTTGGAAGATAACAGAGATGTCACTCACCCTGATATTTTGAGAAGACTTGACTTGCGGACATCTTCGCCCATGTCGATAATGCTCCTTCCCATTACATCAATAACGTACGGACGAACCTTCTCCAAGGCTGCGGAGGGTCCAGCCATGGCAAAGATAAGCTTCCCAGCAGCCGCCATCGGGCTGGCGCCGAATACGGGCGAGGAGATGAAAAAGGCACCAGCCTTGGCAAGACGCTCAGAGCATCTCGCCACGGTATCCGGGTGAACGGTTGATGTGTCCACAAATATCTTGCCTTCCAGCAGAGCGCCGCTCCAGGTACTCAGAGCTTTTGAAATCAGGCTCTCCAGGACTTCATCGTTGGAGATCTTCGACGGGTTAGTTCAGGCAGCGGTCGTAGACAGTGCGTAGTACCATTGTGAAGATAATTGTGGACTTCAGGACAAGCGTTTCAAAGTCCCGTTCCGGCAAACCACCAACCTCTCGGAGGGCGTCGCCTCGGGACAGCGTCCGGTTGCTGTACCGAAGTGGCGGTAGACCATTGGCTGCAAGGTGGTTATGGAGGTTCAGCGCCATGCCGATACCCATGGACCCCAGGCCATACTAGATGATACGTTAGCATAGAGCAGTGATAAGAGCCAGGGCCTATGAAATTACCCATCCAAAGCTCTCTGTTTCCGGCATCTTGCTTGGCGGTGGTCGATATCCACGGGACTTGATTCTTATCGGATAACAAAACGAAGGCGATTCAGATATTTTGGTGGCTTAGACGAATGGAAAGTGTCTCGGCGGGTTCGGAATGTCACAGGTTGGTTGCAAGTGACCTCTCGATCGACTCTTTGTAGTGCAAGATATACAGCTCAAGATTGCGGAGGCGGCGGCGGCGGAGCTCCGCCGGGCCCATCTCAGCGCGTCCCAACCCCCCTGACCTTCACCCCAGCGCGCTTCACTCCGCGCCCCTTAACTCGTAAGCCATGCCGCCAGCCGAGATAATCTCCTCCAACACCGTCGTCATGAAGGATCCCATGGACCACACCGGCCTATCCTTCCAGAACTGCAATACCGTCTCCATGAAGCGTGCCTCACTGTCGTCCGAGGTCATTCCCAATGCGGTAGTCTCCCGAGCCGGCCTCGAGAGACGTCGGGTCTGCGATTCGAGTTCCTCCGGAGAACTGATTACCTCCAGGATAGAATTGAAGACTATTGTTGAGGCCTCAAAGCGGCTGCGAACCGTCGTTTGAGACCCTGCTTTTCGGCTCATCTCCCCGGTTGCCCAGCGCAGTAATCTCCAGATGGCTAGGAGAATTCTGTACGTGGCCACCGTAGCCCATGGCACCTCACGCAAGGGGTCTTGCTTATCAAGACTCGTGACGCTGGAGAGAACATCCATGAGGTCGTCAAGGAAGACCAGCATGCCATCGTCTCCGGAATTGTAGCGGAGAAGGTTTTGTAATGATCTCCGAGCGCCGACTTGAAGACCTAAAGTGAGATGTGTGGCAGTTGTCAGGCCGGCTACCACACTGTTCTCAACGATACCGCCAATCAACAGGTCGTCGGGCTTGCAGAGAGCGAGTTTCACGGACAGAGCTATCCGATCTGCAAACTTCAAGATGTGCCAGTTTGAACTGTTTGCCTGGGCGAGCTGCGCTGTGATTATCTCAGCTGCATATCGCAAAGCTGCGCTGACCTGTCTGTTTTGTGATTGTGTGAGAATATGGAAAGCATTCGGATCGGCCAGGGCGGGCGGCATTTGATAATAACACCTCGTAAACTCCCTAACGAGGCTCTCCAGACTAGTAAGGATGAAAATAGCTGCCATGGTGGAAGCCTTTAATGCCGCTAATAATTGAGGACTTGGGGTATCAGTCATTAGTGATTGGATGGCCAAATTCAATGATTTCGTCGTGGGGCATGGTATGCCAGACGCGTCGCCTGACCGAGTCAAGTAAAGGGTACGGGGTTCATCGCCGAGCCTTTGGGCCCAGCTCAATGAAGTGTCCGCTTCCCACAGAGCACCTGGGAGGGGCAGCTCCCAGTCAAGCTCGATTGGTGTGGTTAGGGGACGTATGTTGCAGGGGGAGAAGATATGGGAGTCTAGGAAAAGTATGGTGTACATGCAAAGCTTCATAGACTCGGACTCCACGTAGGACATCCAGTGGTCATGAAGCGTTTGCTCTTCGCCGTCATGGAATCTTGTAGTAGATGTGAAGACGCTTTGTCGTAGAAGACCCAAATCTCTGGCGGCCTGATAGTTTTTATTAGCCAAAAGAGATGACTGTGAATTAGTGAGAGAAACAGAGAGGTCACGTACATCCACGACCCAACGCAGCATCTTCTTTGCCTTATCAAAGTGGGTTGCATTGCCGGTGAAGGCACCGTAGATGATATGCAGAAGCCAGGCTTGCATGACCCACGTTCGTCGGATTTCTCTCCAGTCTGTCTCCACCTGCAACACATATCAATATTGGATCATGAATGTCGAGTGGTTGGCTTACTAGTCGCCAAAGTTCTTCTTGGCCATCTTGCCACATGGTTTGACTTTGCCGTAGCACAAAATCTGCATCTTCTTCAGAGGAATGCCTAGGCCTTGAATACAGAATACCAATGGCGACGAGAATCTGTTTTGACAATTTAGGCATGTCTCTCCTTACACTCTGGTGATGAAGCAGCGGAAATGACGGATGAAAGCATTCGAAATAAGCCGCGATGAAACTCTCTGAGTGATTGATCATAAATCTGTATCGTGATTCTCAGTCAGTCCAGATTTGCTGCTGAGAGAAATGATCATGGTGAGACTCACTCTGATGATAGTAGGTCCCGAGACACGGTCCCTCCGCCTGTTTCTGGCGAGCTACCATGATATGTCTCATCATTCATAGCAACAGTTGTGTCCACAGAAGCATTCGCTTCAGGCGAATCGTCCGCTTCTTGACCATTTGACGATAGTGCGGTCTCATCGATGACTGACTCCGTCTGCTCTGGTTCACCCTCTGTACCAGGTACCGTCAAGACGCGTCCGAGGGCGCCGCGACATCTCTCAGAGTGACGTTTACAGACATCTTTCCTAGTGAATCGTGCGCGGCATGTATAGCACTTGAATGGTCTGCGGCTGTCACTTCCGTGCCCTGCCGGTATTCAGTATCGTCATGCAAGAAAAGGGGGTTACGAGTGGGACTCACTTGAGCGCTTGTGCCGTTCGAGATTTTCCTACGCAAACTATCAGTATGACTCTTCATTAGAAAAACTACCAACTTACATTTCGGGTAAAAGTTTGGGAGCATTCTGTGCAGGTGAACGGCCTAGAGAGCTCCATTTTAGGTGTGGATTTGGCGACGTGATGCAGAAGTAGACATTGATGGGGATCAGAGAAAGCGAATCAAAGATGCATAAAGTCTGTGCGGCGTGAACGTTGAATCAATGGTTATGTTACTATACGAAGACTTACCCCGATTATTGCATAAACTGCATGTGCTTGCACATCTCTTGAAGCCAGCTGAGAGGAAGGACAATATATCTTACTTATCGAATGTACAGAATAAGGGAATCATGTTTTTATAACTCGAAGAATATGGCAATAGGATAGTATGCTGTATTGTCCGCCCCATCATCTCGCGATGGTGATAGTCTCAGCGCCCGAAACCGGTGGAGTTGTAAACTTGTAAGTACAAAGCGGCGGTCAACGAGGGATTCCGATGAGGCCTCGAAGAATTGAATTCAAACATCAAAGGTTTCGCCGAAATTTCACAGTTCCCACAAAGGGAGATGATTCTCAGAAGGCAACTCAGTTGTTGCCACTACTCAGCCGTGATATTGTCAGGGAGCTTGCCCTCAGGGAAAGCCCTGATCATCACACCCACGGCAGGGTCATCGAACGCCGTTGCCTGCCCCATGACCTTACCATTGAATGTGCAGAAATCCATGATCCTACCAGCACTTCGAGCAACCCCTGCACTATGTAGTTGTCAGCTTTCTGCATTTGCTGATCTAGCGTGTGATGCATGAAATTCTTACCAAGACGGAGCGTTTATAGACAGCTCATCAATTTTCCTCCATCCGAGGATGAAGTCTGGCCCCGACTGGCAATAGCTCGTGACCTGTTGTGTGTAGCAAGGCTTGTTCCCGATTCGGGCTAAATGCTCAATGCAAAATACGACGTTGGAAACCTATGTTTTGATTCAAGTCAGACCCGCTCTTCATTACTGATGGGCCGTGGAGTTTCTTACCACCGACAGCTGTCTCGGGTATGTGTTGCATTGGACGCCTTCGAGGCCAATACCGACAGTTGAGGCCTCGTCAGTTTTCAAGCCCTTCTCGCCAGGCTTGGTGCTCTTGACAACTTTGCGAACCTGAAGAAGACTTCTTCTAAAGACATTCATAGTGGGAGAATTTCTGCGTTGCAAGTCTGGCTGCTCGACGCCCTTTCCGCGACTCATTGGGGTCCGAACAGCGGCAGCGATAGCCTCGTCAGACGACAAGTGGGTTCCATTGGGATTCGTGCTGATGCCGTCGATCCATGACTCGAATGAAAACAGGTCTTGCGGGGGCGTTGATGGTGGGCTTGTTAGGAGAGCATTCGTTTTGCTTACATCTACCCTCGGGGCGGCGGTGACAATTGGGACGACTGCCAGAACGGCGAGGGCCAAAAGTAATGAGCAAAACATTGCAGACGGTCTGGAGGCCAGAGTAAATAGCGATAGGACTGGCTTGATAAACGAGAGTGATGATGATGTGTAGGACTTCCGATGATGTATGGCTGCACGTTCACGACTATTATATAAACACTTTCAGTGAAAAAAAGACTCAAAACCAACTTCAGCAGTATGCGCTTTTGCCTGTATTCAGCCCTTGCTTCTTCTCCCTTACCACAGTTGCTCTTTCACATCTCCATCCGAGTCCTTCGCAATTGGTTTGAGCGAAAGAAAAACTGTTCCATTGGCGACGGATGCAGCAGACTCGTCAAAGTTGGCGTTGCTGAAAACGCGCCATGCGTACAAAGACTTCTCAAATTGACTACCCATAAATGGCCCTGGATCGTGTGACCAATAGCTTTGGGCAAATGCTCCCTGATAGTGTCACACAACGCCTAGCCACGTGTAAGTTTAGCATTGTGTTCTAGTATTTGGCAGTGGAAAAGACGACGGATTTGTGACAAAGAAGTTCTATCCCAACGAGAGGTCATGAGCACAGAAAATTATTTTCCGTATCCATCTGACATATACTGGCTCCCATAAGACTAGAACGTGAGAAGCGTACTGAAAGTCTTGAAGTTTGGAAGGAGATGAGTAGTGACATAAAATTATGAAGTAAACATCGATGCCAAATTCCACCTTAGCATGTCCTAAAGAACACTAATTTCAGTGAAAAATAGCAGAAAGGCCGTTGCCTTCTTGAATCTTTCGATTTAATCAGCTCGCCGGTAGCCTGATAGCCTCTACTCCAAAGTCACATTAACGGTTCAATCACTCATCTTCCTGCGATCTCGTCTTCTGACATCTGTGCAATGCCAAACTGAAGGGACCGTCGTGTATCTTGCTATATATGAGACAATCAAAACCAAGAAGTGGTATATATCACCGTCCTGCAAAAGTGGCACGGGTGGCTCTAGTATCATCGCCAGCTGACCATCAGCAGAAAAGTTGAGTCTGTATCTTGATGTCACGAAATTTAGACCACTCTCCGAGGAACAGATACATTTACAGGATGTTACTTTCCTCGTTGTGTGGTCTCTTGACGGTCAGATCTTTTCGGAAGTACGTGCTTTCATAAATCATCCCATTGAAGATTCTTCATCTTCGGCATGATTCAGAGCTTCCCACATGACTTATGTTGAAATTGTCATATCCAAAGTACTTCTGCTGTCTCTGCCACTTTCGTGCTATTCCGATGTTATTACTGATTGATAGTTTTCGGGACCTGGAATTCTAGCGACTACAGACATCACCCACTTATATACGTGCCACTGGAGTAAACATTGAAACAATTGATGTAGGCATTTTCAATTTCCTGTCCAAGTTATCTCACTACTACTCAAGATGGGTCTGTAATTATGCTCTATCGGAATTCGAAGGTGGCTGCTCATTCCTCGCATCAAGGCCGTCGTGAAACTGTTCAGAAGAAGCGGCTCTGGTAAACACTCCACAATCACGTATATAAGGTAGAGTCACACATGTAATTATTGATCTCCGCGACGAATTATGGGTGGGCATCGTACATGACCAGCTCCTACAACTTACAACCGAATTCATCGTGATTCTTGTTCATCGCAGGACCGCCCGTGTCTTACCCCTTTCTATTGATCCCACCTTACTCGACGTGAAAAACGTCGAATATTCGTGAGGGGGCAAGTGCTGGATTTCGAAACCCTGGGCTGCAGCCTAGCTTTGCACTTGGGTAGGTGGTCTTCCGTCAGCGAAGTGCCGGGGCCACATTACCTGCCAGAACGAGGAATATGTTGACCGTGGTCAACGGTGTTTTTGTTCAAAATGAAGGTAGAGTAATGATGAATTGTTCTTGAATAGTTCTTGCGGTTAGTTTTAAACGTCGTGATGTTTCGACAGATTGAGCTAATCGCTTTGGTCCTGGATTCGCAGCCCACGCCTCGACTTCTAGAATTTATTGCTACAAGTAGCATAGGACGGTCAGAACACTGAAAAATGGTCGTCAACTGGGTCATGTTGTTATTTGATTCTGGGCCTTCTGGGTTGAGGTTGGGTGTCAGGTGAACCAACCGCCTGCTCAGCCGCTTCCCAACAAGGGTGCATCACCGGGTCTCGAATCATCAACTCACACCCTGTCAATTCTCTTCTCTTCTATCGCCCAGTCATGCGACGCTATTTCTCTGAATCATCACCCAAGTCGCCTTTCAACAAGACAGCGTCTGAAGAGACAACGTCTCCGATCCCAGAAGTTGGCCCTTCATTGTGGACCCAGGAAGAGATGCGTGATGTGATGGACAGGAGGCCAATCCACGACCAAATTTGTTGTTGTGCACCTCGAAACCGCGTTTCAGAGAGTGAAATAATCAGTCGAACAGCTTCGTTGCAGGGATCGTTCAAACCTCAATCCATCGACTCAGGGGGCGGACCATCCTCGTGATCACCCTTGATTAAGGCGATGGCGTCGCCTATAAAGACTGACGTGTTACATGCGTTATTAGAATAGCAGAAATGAATCCAAATAAATCTCTGGAGACTGTGCCTCTCTAAGTGTTGCCATGACAGCATCCGCATGTCGAACCACCATCACTGAGCACGTCCCGCTTCCTTCGGAGGCGGGCTCCATCGCCGACGACCTGTCTCGCTACCCCGCCCAATCACCCCTGTCCAACGTGGTCCTATAGATATTCTATTCCAAATACTAGGCCAAAAGGAGAGACTATAATTTCCGGCTTTAGTCATTGTTGTGTCAAACATGGGTTGGTTGTCGTGAACGACTTGGTCCTGGGCAGAGCTGGACCGGCGCGCTATCTTTCCCTATTCGATACAGATGCCTTGCGTGTTTCATTGCTTGCTGTCCTAAGAAGCAATTAAATGCCATTCCCCCCCCCTTTAAGAACAGATTTGAGTCGTTGGGAGAAAGGCCTCGTCGCGGTTTAAGAAGCGGGGCAACGTCATCTCAACGCTGAAGGAAGTACCAAGTACCGGTGCATCAACATACCAACTATTCCATCATCACAGAACGAGCCCAACCTACCTTTTGCAGCCGCAAAAACGCTGTATAAAGCTCTTCATAAGAGTTTCCTTTAGTCCAATTCAATATTACGCGAATAGCGACACTTCAACCTGGGCAGCCGCAACCTCTCAACTCGGCCAGCAACCTCAGCTGAAACATACAGCCCGTTTCAAAACAGACTTTCAACTCACCCACTCAATCATACGAGTTGATATGTATCCGAGAACTTAAGGGTTTAGGGATTTAGAGTCGCTCTCAACTCTGATTTCAATAAGACTCGCCACTCAGACAACTTGCATGTCTCCCCGGCGCTCAGGCGCCAAGGCCACGCGAGGACTCTGGTCCGATTCGTGTGTTTGCGTCTTTGATATGATACGGAACGAAGACTGCTTGCATCTTGTGTCCGAAACCACCTTGCTTTAATACTCGTATCTAACGAAAGGACCAGCCAAACTCACAGGGGCCGGTCCTCGTCGATGAACCGCGATTAACACCTAGCCCAGCCCATCCAGCACAACGTCACGGAGAATGTAGAAAAAGCACATCTAGGACCCGAATTAAGTACTTAAGGTCGTTCGATTCAAGACCAGAAAACAGGGGGTGAAGAGGTGGCCGTGGATGCCGATGGGGGAATCTCTGGGT